ATGAAGACCGTCAGCGGTCTGATGGTCTGTCGGTCTGTCTCAGACATTCATCATCTCCAGAGGATGAACCTTCATCACTCCACTATGATCATTTATGTAAATATGAAAAATCATGAAAAACAATATCAGTAAATAATGTTTTTTACAGTCTAAACATGGAGGAGACCAGGTCCTTCGCTGGAGGTTTATGTGTGTGATTAGAAGAGTCACTGGGGTTTTGAATGATGTTCTGGATCCACTTCAGTAGAAACAGAGACTCTGTCAGAAGCTTCAATAAAACCCGTTTGGACATTAAATGAATGTTTGTTTTCTATGTGACAAATGAGGATTTAAATGTTTATATTATATTCATAATAATAATGTACATTATATATAAAACAGAAAAACTATAACATGGAGAGAACAATGTTTTCTTTGCAGTAACAGTCAGTTTGTTTGTTTGTTTGTTTGTTTCCATGACAACAAGCTCAGCTGTCCGGGTGTGGGCCTCCTGTGTTCCTTATCACCTGTCTGTTCATCATGTGGCACTGAAGCAGGTTTCAGGTCCAGTTCATCAGAGTGTAACTGAACCTGACCTGGGATCAGTCTGGACTCATGTTAGTATGAGGGTCCTGACAGGACTGAGGTCAGCAGCCTCCTCGCATCAGGCTCTGACTTCAGATTTAAGACGTGGATTTAAATCCGGGTCTCAGGTTCTGTTCAGATCAGGTCTTCTCACTGACGGACTGGTTTCTGCAGACTGAGAGACGGATCTCCTCAGTCTGTCTCGGATCTTTCAGCTGAAGTCTGGGCTCTGATCCTGCAAACCTGATCCGGGTTCAGCTGAAGTCTCTGTGTGCGGGGAGGAGGAAAACAAGATGTCGTTTGAATTGTAGATTTGGATCAAATGAGGCGGAGCCGGATCAGACTGGTACCAATACCGGACGTGCCCCGAATCTGACGGATCCGGGAACAGCACGGACGGATCCGGATCCCCCTGCAAAGGAGGTCTGTCCGTTGTGAGGAGGTGAAGAAGACTGCGGACAGAGGGAGGAAGGTGTGATTCTGCAGGGACTCTCCGCCTCCACCTTCCCAGCGCAGGGAGCGCGCCGCGCGGCTGTGGAGAGGTGTGACGCGCCCGAACTGCATCTCCAGGATGGCAGGTAGGTCTCCTCCGACTGGGGGTAAAACACTTAACGTTAGCACGGCTCGGCTCGGCTCGCTCTCAATGAAAAGCTTTCGTTTAAATCGTCGGTAATAAGGAGGCGGCGTGGCGGCAGCCGCGGGTCTGATCCGCATCGCCGCTGCTCGCTGTCGGTTTTAGCGGCATGGAGGCTCCAGCTGCGGCTGTCCGCTGCTCACCGCTGCTTCCTCGGATCAGAGAGAAGGGAGGAGGCTCCAGACCTCTCGTCGGTGCAGACCACGTCAAAGCGGAGACGGACCGGTAATCAGGGCAACTGTAACCGGGGGACGGAGCCTGTAGAGCGGCAATGGAGCAGCCGTCCTCACGCTGACAGATGAGGCACAGGCCGCGGTTATCTGTCCGATAATGGAGTCAGCGTCAGAGCGGACCGAGCCGAGCCAAGCCGTGCGGGTCTAGCAGGGTGGCATGGAAACAGTACTACTAGATCCGGAGCAGGGCCCGAGCAGTGCCAGGGACATGAACCAGTGATCCAGTGATGGGAGTCAGGACGGGCCTGCACCTCACTGCTGGATCCTGGATCAGGGGATCCACAGACCACCAGCCTGTGGGTGGGGGCCCCCCAGAAAAAGTGAAAGTCTGCAGGGACCAGTCCAGAACCTGGTCCTCTGCTGCCCGGATCTTGGGTCCAGTTGAGACATTGCTGACTCAGTTTTAAATAATCAATAAATTCTGATTGATTATAGATTAACCTACTCAACAGAATGTGGAGGAAATAAAATAAAATCTTTAAAGATTAACTAACTATTGATTCTTTATCAATTAATTACCTATTGATTAATTGATTAATTTACAAAGTGATGAGAGTCTGACCTTTAACCTGTTCAGGTGTGTCAGGGCTGAGACCTCCTGACAGTCTGACCTGTCGCTGACCCGTCTCTCTGTTCAGGTCCTCCTGATGGGCCCTCGGTGCTCTGTACCGGGATCAGACCAGCGGCCCTCTGAGGACGATGGACCCTGTGATCCCGCCGGACCCCGGCACCAGGACCAGGACCAGGACCAGGACCAGGATGGACCCCAGAACCTCAGCATGCAGGCGAACACTCGGTGTGATCCTGCTGGTGACTGGCATGCTGGTTTCCATGGTGACAAGTTCACCTGCTGCAGGTAAGACGTTTTTCTGTTTTCTAAAGGAGCAGTCCACAGATCTGAGTCCAGTCTCTGTAGATCTGGATCTGTCTCAGTATCCGTCAGAGGAGGGGAAGCTCTCTGAAGATCATGTAAGTTATTTATTGACAGTATCAGTTCCTGTAGGTCTGGGTCCTGTAGGTCTGGGTCCTGTAGGTCTGGGTCCTGTAGGTCTCAGTCCTGTAGGTCTGGTTTCTTTAGGTCTGGGTCCTGTAGGTCTGGGTCCTGTAGGTCTCAGTCCTGTAGGTCTGGTTCCTGTAGGTCTGGTTTCTCTAGGTCTGGGTCCTGTAGGTCTGAGTCCTCTAGGTCTGGTTCCTCTGGGTCTGGTTCCTGTAGGTCTGGTTTCTCTAGGTCTGGTTCCTCTAGGTCTGGTTCCTGTAGGTCTGGTTTCTCTAGGTCTGGGTTCTGTAGGTCTGTGTCCTCTAGGTCTGGTTCCTGTAGGTCTGGTTCCTGTAGATCTGGTTCGTCTAGGTCTGGTCCGTCTAGGTCTGGGTCCTGTAGGTCTGGTTCCTCTAGGTCTGGGTCCTGTAGGTCTGGTTCGTCTAGGTCTGGGTCCTGTAGGTCTGGTTCCTCTAGGTCTGGGTCCTGTAGGTCTCAGTCCTGTAGGTCTGGTTCCTCTAGGTCTGGGTCCTGTAGGTCTGGGTCCTGTAGGTCTGGTTCGTCTAGGTCTGGGTCCTCTAGGTCTGGTCCTGTAGGTCTGGTGTCTTTAGGTCTGGGTCCTGTAGGTCTGGTTCCTCTAGGTCTGGTCCTGTAGGTCTGGTTCCTCTAGGTCTGGTTCCTCTAGGTCTGGGTCCTGTAGGTCTGGGTACTGTAGGTCTGGGTCCTGTAGGTCTCAGTCCTGTAGGTCTGGTTTCTTTGGGTCTGGGTCCTCTAGGTCTCAGTCCTGTAGGTCTGGTTTCTTTAGGTCTGGGTCCTGTAGGTCTGGGTCCTGTAGGTCTGGGTCCTCTAGGTCTGGGTCCTCTAGGTCTCAGTCCTGTAGGTCTGGTTCCTGTAGGTCTCAGTCCTGTAGGTCTGGTTTCTTTAGGTCTGGGTCCTGTAGGTCTGGTTTCTTTAAGGTCTGGTCTGTAGGGTTCCTGTAGGTCTGGGTCCTGTAGGTCTGTGGTCTGTCCTTAGCCTGGGGGTGGGTCCTTGTAGGTCTGGTTCCTCTTAGGTCTGGGTCCTGTAGGTCTCAGTCCTCTGTAGGCTGGTTCCCCTGTAGGTCTTGGTCCTGTAGGTCTGGTTTCTTTAGGTCTGGGTCCTGTAGGTCTGGGTCCTGTAGGTTTGGTTCGCGTCCAGGTTTGGACTAGTTCAAAGTCTTCCACAACAAACAGGTGGACAAACTAAAAAGCTAATTTCACCAAATTTATGCAAGAGGTCTGGAGGACAGGTGATGAGCTGCTGACCCTTGACCTTTGTTATACCTGTAGGAAACAGGAAGTGAAATGTCCTTATAAGGAAGTTTGGAATGTCTGTGATTCTTGGCTGAAACAGGAAATCTTATTCTCAGTCTTTATCCTCCTTCATGTTTCTCCCACTGATACTGAGTCACACACACACACACACACACACACACACACACACACACACACACACACACACACACACACACACACTGTCTTTCTACATTCGTGGGGACCTGTCATTGACATAATGAATTCCCTGACCTAAACTCTCCACCAGACATTTATGGAACATTGATGTCATTTAATTTAATGTACTTTATTTTTATTAACGAGGTCGACACACATTAGTTAAAAACTACAGGAGCAGGTCGTACATGAACAGGAAGCAGCAGATTCACGACCACTGTGACATTAGCCACAAACTGACCTTAATGAGGAAAAAATAGGTAAAAGTTGATAAAATGGCAACATGACACATTAAACAGAATATACGTGACATCATTAATATGTGTGACATCATCATCACAGAGAATCCTCCAGTTTCCTTCAGTATCACAGTCTGAACATCATGATACACACAGACAGGAGCTGATCACAGCCAATCACAGCCATCACACCTGATCTGTAACACACAGCTGATCTGTGTATCTATCTATCTATCAATCTATCTATCTATCTATCTATCTATCTATCTATCTATCTCTGTACTGGGGGGTTTGAGGGCGTCGTCTCTTGAATACCAATGACTCGTCTCCATTCGGCACGTGATGCTGCCGCAAAGCACAGCGTCACCATGGCAACGAGGCCGGCACCAGATGAAAGAGCCCCAGTCAAGGCTGACTGTGTGTGTGTGTGTGTGTGATGACACAAAGACAAATAGGTTTAGAAAGACTGCAGCAGAACAGAGGAGTTAAAGCCCTTGTGTTAAAAGAATGTGTGTGTGTGTGTGTGTGTGTGTGTGTGTGTGTGTGTGTGTGTGTGTATCTAATTGTAATAAGTTGTTATAACAAAATATAATTAGAGTGAATTATTTTATTTTAGGCCTATAATCAGACCAGACTTAGGGTTAGGTCAAGGTCCTCAGCTTTAGTCAAGGTCCTGGTCTTTGGTCAGGGTCCTGGTCTTTGGTCAGGGTCCTGGTCTTTGGTCAGGGTCCTGGTCTTTGGACAGGGTCCTGGTCTTTGGTCAGGGTCCTGGTCTTTGGTCAGGGTCCTGGTCTTTGGACAGGGTCCTCGTCTTGAGGGTCTGTGGGGACGATATAATGAATTTTCCGACTCTCGCCCACAGGTGTGTTAAACTTCAACAGGACGATGGAGGCTTCATCACGTCCTTCTACACCATCCTCACCCCCCTCCCCTCCCAGACCCCCTGCCCCGAGCCCGCCCTCAGACTCTGGTTACCATGGTAACAGTGGAGGCTCCAGGGACGATTCGGACTCTGGCGCTCAGGGGATCCACCTTCTACTCAGACCCCCGGACCTCCTGTCCCCCAGTCTCCCCCCGCCCCTCCCCCCTCACACCCAGCCAACCCTCACCCCTCCTCCCCCCTGGGAACAGGGTCCCTCCCTGGAGGAAGTTTGGGGTTCTGGAGACTACCTGGAGACTCTGTCCTTCATGGTGCCCGACGGCGAGGAGCTGGCCCTGGCCACGCCGCTGCCCAACCACCCCTACGATGATGACGCCGGTGGGGACTGGGTCTCTTATGACACTGCCTTCCCTGCTCGTCCCACCGTCCCTCTCTCCACCCGTCTCCCCCTCTCGCCCTCCTCCTCCACCCCCAGCATCCGACTGCACACTCGCCCCACCCACCTGGACGTCTTCCCCACCTGGGAGGAGGACTATGACCTGGAGGACATGATGCCCCTGGAGCCGACGGAGCTGCTGCTGCCAGACATGAACAGTCTGGAGTATTACACCAACCTGCTGGCCCGGGAGAGAGAGAGGGAGAGGGAGAGGGAGAGAGAGAGGGAGAGGGAGAGGGAGAACAACAGGGAGAAAGACCAGGACCAGGTCAACTGGACCGATGCCAAACCCCCCATCACTCCTACAACAACACAAACTCACCGTCTAACTCCATCTCCATCTCCATCCCCAAGCTCTGGCCCTCCTCCAGGACGGGAGCCCAAGCGTCCTCTGGCTGGGCCCACCCCTCCCCTCACCCTCTCTCCCATCCTCACAAGTGAGAAGAAGCCACCTGCTCAATCAACTACCCTCAAAACCCCCTCCACCACTCTTCTGTCTGCTACAAAACCCAAAGATCACATCCCAGTCCCGGGGAGATACCCTCCCCGCCCTCCTTCCAACACCACCAGCCGGGTGCCTCCCCCACCCCCGTTGGGACCACCCACCCGTCCCGACAGACCAGAAAGGCCCCCGGTGGTTACGGAGAAGCCAGTGAAGGCTCCACCCACCAGGACCACCACCAACACCAAGACGACGACCACCACCACAATCACCACCACCACCCAGATCACAGCCATCAGCCTGACCAGAGCCCCCCCTGTCACCACACCAAGAGTGGCCCAGATCCCGCCCACCAGACAGTATCTGTGTAACATCACCAAGCCAGACATGTACCTGGTCAGAGTAGGTAAGACCACCGAGGGTCAGGTGACAAGAACACGAGGTACTTGTACTTGTTGTTGTCACATGCACAGTTTTTTTTATTGCGTCTAAGTCAACCTTGACGAGTACAGCTGAGTCCTGATCTAAGTATTCAGGCCTATGTAACTAAGAGATACTCTCTTAGTTCAGTAAATACTTTGTGATTCAATTTGTTTACCTCTTTGAATGATGTTTGTTTACCTGTTAATCCAACCAATACGAGTCAACTGATCTGTCTTTGAATCCCTCCTGCAGTCAGCTCCAAGGGTTCGTCGGCTGGTTTCAGTCAGGTCAGAGATCTTCTGAAGAGAGAGTTCAACCGCTCAGTGGAGCTCCAGGTAAATGTCACCTCATCCAAGTAAACATCACCTCATCCAAGTATACGTCACCTCATCCAAGTAAACGTCACCTCATCCAAGTAAACGTCACCTCATCCAAGTATACGTCACCTCATCCAAGTAAACGTCACCTCATCCAAGTAAACGTCACCTCATCCAAGTATACGTCACCTCATCCAAGTAAACGTCACCTCATCCAAGTATACGTCACCTCATCCAAGTATACGTCACCTCATCCAAGTAAACGTCACCTCATCCAAGTATACGTCACCTCATCCAAGTATACGTCACCTCATCCAAGTATACGTCACCTCATCCAGGTAAATGTCATCTCATCCACCATAGCACAGGTCAGACTGAAGTATATTTACACAACACTACACAAAGATCAGAGATCTTTTTAACATAATCCACTTTACTTTACCTCACATCACAATACTTTACTTCACTTTACTTTACTTGACTTTACTTGACTTTACTTTATTTTACTTCACTTTACTTCACTTCAATTCACTTTACTTCACTTTACTTTACTTCACTTTATTACACTTTAATTCACTGTACTTCACTTTACCTCACTTTACTTCATTTTACTTTACTTCACTTTATTTCACTTCACTTCTTTTTACTTTACTTTACCTTACTTCACTTTCCTTCACTTCACTTCACTTCACTTCACTTTACTTGACTTTACTTTATTTTACTTCACTTTACTTCACTTCAATTCACTTTACTTCACTTTACTTTTTTCGTTACTTCACTTTACTTTACTTTACTTCACTTTATTTCACTTCACTTTACTTCGCTTCAATTCACTTTACTTCACTTCAATTCACTTTACTTCACTTCACTTTACTTCACTTTATTTCACTTCACTTCTTTTTACTTTACTTTGCCTTACTTCACTTTACTTCACTTCAATTCACTTTACTTCACTTTACTTTATTTTACTTCACTTCACTTCAATTCACTTCACTTTACTTTTTTCGTTACTTCACTTTACTTTACTTTACTTCACTTTATTTCACTTCACTTCTTTTTACTTTACTTTGCCTTACTTCACTTTACTTCACTTCAATTCACTTTACTTCACTTCACTTTACTTCACTTTATTTCACTTTACTTTACTTCACGTCACATTACTTCACTTCACTTCACTTCCAGCTGATTGTAAGAAGACATTAACTCTGCTGTAAAGTTAAGATTGACAAACATGTCGTCATGACGACACCTTCATGTTGGGCTCATTTGATTCCATGATTGATGATGATTAAACCTGTACCTGCTCAACAGGGAACACATCTGTTTCCTCTCTGTTTCCAGTTCCTTAGAACTCCGTCCAGCTTTGCCTTTCGTGTTGTATCAGGACCGTTGATCTTCACTGCTGTGGCCGTCATCAACGCCCTCCGCCAACCGCCGCGTTCTTTCGGCCCGGTTCCCACCGTGTCACCACTCTACACCATACCTGACCTCAGGTATCAGATCCACTCTGTGCTGCAGTTCGTCCCCGCCCACGTCGACATCCGAGTCTGTAACTTCAGCGAACGGGTGGAGAGAGGGCTGATGATGGCGTACGCAGAGACACGGAGGCGCTCACATGAGGCGGGAAACGTCACTGTACAGGTGAGTCGGTTATTTCTTTATTATTAATGATGAAAACTGTCACTTCCCTGTTGATGAAATCTAAAGATAAAAACGTCGACACACTGTTTCGTCTTCTGCAGCTGTTGAACATCACAATGGGCGTGTCCCAGCCGGCGCCTGAGCAGAAGGTTCCTGTGGAGATCACATTTGCGGTGCGTGATGGGCGGGGCTACCTGCCAGGGTCAGAGGTCAGCAAACACCTGAGGAAGCTCAGCGTGGTCGAGTTCAGCTTCTACGTCGGATTTCCTGCTGTGCAGATTGCAGAACGTACGACACACACTTTCGTTTGTAACACACACACATGTTGATGCAAGCACTGTGTCACGGTCAGTGTGTGTGTTAAATCTGTGAACAGACACGTGTGTGTTAAACGTGTGACATTCTTTAAGAACATGTTTCTGTCTGCAGCCTTTCACTACCCGGAGCTGAACACATCGCACCACCTGCGCTCCACCTGGGTCAGAACAGGTGAGAACACACTTGTGCACTTACAACCTCATGAACACGCCTCCGAAGTAAAGGAACATTAGGACAGATTTGACTAGTTTTACATGAAGACAGTGTGACCTGCAGCAGATGATCTCAGGTGGGGATATCTGTGGTGACACCTGTGTGTTTCCTGTTTCAGTGCTGCTGGGAGTTCAGGATCAGCTGGTGACAGAGAGAAGCTTTAAAGCTCGTCTGGAGAGACGTCTGGCTCTGCTGCTGGAGGAGGGACTGCAGGAGTCCAGCAGGAGGCGCTGGAGGAGAGCTACTGCCGTGGGCAACAACAGTCTACAGGTATACACTCATCATACAGGTACAGTATATACAGGTATATACAGGTATATACACATCATACAGGTATCCTGTACTCTGCTGCAGGACAGATGAAGTTTCACCAGTTTGTTCTTCACTGATAAAAACCTGTTTTCACATCTTCAGGTGTTTTCAGGTTCTGGTCACCTGCACTTTTATTTACCTCTGACCTTTGTACCAGTTATTTCACTGGTGAAATTTTGGTGTAAAACCTTTACCTGGTCTTGTACAGACATGTACGTGTATGATGACATCAGTTAGCTGAGCTTTTCTGACTGTGACATGTGACCCACCTGTTGTGTCTCAGGTGGTGCGGGTGGCGAGGCTGTCGGGGGCGGAGCGCCCCCTGGAGGTCTTGTATTTTGTGGAGGGTGCGGCCGGTGAGCGGATCCCGGCCGAGACGACCGCCGCCACCCTGAACCGTCTGGACCTTCAGAGAGCCGCCATTGTCCTGGGACACCGAGTCCAGAGACCGCTGGCCCAGCGTGAGTCAGACCCTGAACCAGGGACCATCAGACTCACTGTTTTATTATATTATATAATATTACAATCATTATAAAATAATCAGCAGATATTGATTGATTATTTAAACATGTTTGTTCACACACAGTTTATATGAACATGAGACATGTAGAGACTGAAGGACAGTGGACAGACTTTGTCTCCTCCAAGACAGAGACAAACATTCACTTCTTATTTCCCTCATCTGTCCCTCACCTGTCTCCCACCTGTTTCTCATCCAGCTGTGGAGACTCTGTCCGTTCCCCCGGCAGAGACTCAGAGCAGCAGCATCTGGCTGATTGTGGGCGTGGTTGTCCCCGTCCTGCTGGCTGTCTTCATCATCATCATCCTCTACTGGAAACTGTGCGGCTCCGAGAAGCTTGAGTTCCAGCCGGATGCCATCAACACAATCCAGCAGAGACAGAAGGTGAGAAGTCAACAGGAAGTCAGTCAGCTGTTTCCTGTCCTGTAGGTGAATGTAAACGACTGAGATGTGTCCTCTGTCCTCAGCTTCAGGCTCCCAGCGTCAAAGGCTTCGACTTCGCCAAGCTCCACCTCGGTCAGCACAGTAAAGATGACATCATGGTGATCCAGGAGCCTGGGCCGCTACCCGCCCCTGTCAAAGAGGCCACGCCCTCTGACGGCGGAGACCTCAACACCCCCAAATCTAAAGGGTCGTCCACCAAGGCAGGCCGGTCCAGCCGCCGCAGAGGAAGGTTAGACATGTTTCTTCTTCTGAAAATAGATAAATATGATGAACAACATGTTAAAATCTCCACATTCTGCTGAGGAACATTAAGATCCGGTCTTCAGCAGAACCAGAACCAGAACCACAACCACAACCAATTCTTCTTACCTCTGTCAGGCTCAGCCCATCGGACGGAGACTCGTTAGGCAGCGACCAATCCAGCGGCAGAGAGTCAGCAGAGGAAAGCACCCGACCTGTGGCCACGCCCATTGAGGGGAAACAGCACAGGAAGACGCCCAAAAATGGTCTGAGACACAGTGACATCATCACCTAAACTGTTTGACTTTTTAATATCCAGTTCTGACGAGTGAGAGCGAGAGAGAGAAGGAAAATAGAAAGATAGAAAAGTATAAAAATAGAAAAATAGAGGTGTGGAGGATGAGTGAGCAGTCAAACCTGTTTCTCTGTTTTGATTGTCTTTTCTTCTTCATGCTTCTGGACTGAAGGGAGGAGCAAGATGGGTACGTTTGATTCATTCATCATCACAAGCTAAGGCCCCCCCCCCCACAGTCAGAGCAGCTGGTTCAGATCTTAAGAGAACAGTCTATTGGATGATTGACACATACGGCAGGTTTATGTTCTGACCAGTAGTTTGAATCATCAGGATCCGAGAACCTGCAGGTCCGAGGTTCAGAACCAGATTCGGTTCCTTGGACTCTGGAACCTGTTTCCAGTCCAGCTAGTTTCAATTTGACGCCTCAGAATAAATCAGCCCATGAGCTGAGAGAAGAAGCTGTGACGCTTTGTTGTTACAATGGTAACGAAAGCTGATGTCAGTCTGCAGCTGAAGACTGTAACCTCAGGTTCTCCTCCTCCAGCAGCTCCATCATGCAGCGGTCCAGACGAACTTCTCTCCTCATCCTCCATCTTTGACCACGTGGACCGTCTGTCTCGAGGCTCGTCTGACGGCACTCGTCGACAGGCCAACAAAGTGCAGCTGATCGCCATGCAGCCTCAACCGAGTCCGCCACCGCCTCACGCCCCATCACAGCCGAGCCCCACGCTCACAGAGAAGGTGAACACAGAGGTGAGAGAGTCATCAAGACAAACACGCAAACAAACTCACTGCTCGCCCTTTAAAACCCGCTTGACGTCATTCACCTACGCTCCTACAGGTGGCGTTGAGACACAAGTCAGAGATCGAGCATCACAGGAACAAACTTCGGCAGCGGGCCAAGAGGCGGGGCCAGTGTGAATTTCCCTCCATGGATGACATCATGGACGCCTTTGGAGACGGGCCGGTGCAGAGCGAGGTAGCACAGCGACTCTACAGCTCCGCCCATGACCACATGGACTGCATCCTGCAGGCCGACGCCCACTCACCCCCCACGCACATCGACTCCAGGAAGAGGTCAGACTACACCTGAGAACCCCTGACCTGTCCTCGGTCTGTCCTCGATCTGTCCTCTGTGTGTCGTCAATCTGTCCTTGGTCTGTCTTCGATCTGTCCTCGGTCTGTCTGTCTGTCTGTCCTCTGTCTTTCATCAGTCTGTCCTTGGTCTGTCCTCTGTTTGTCATCGGTCTGTCCTCTGTCTGTTCTCAGTCTGTCTGTCCTCTGTATGTCGTCAGTCTGTCCTCTATCTGTCCTCGGTCTGTCTGTCCTCTGTCTGTCTTCGGTCAGTCTGTCCTCTGTCTGTCCTCGATCTGTCTGTCCTCGATCTGTCTGTCCTCTGTATGTCATCAGTCTCTCCTCTGTCTGTCCTCGGCCTGTCCTCTGTATGTCGTCAGTCTGTCCTCTGTCTGTCCTCGGTCTGTCCTCTGTCTGTCCATGGTCTGTCGTCAGTCTGTCCTTGGTCTGTCCTCCGTCTGTCCTCTGTCTGTCTGTCTCTACTGTAACATTACATTAACAAAGTAAAAGAGTGAGAAACAGATGTGATGCTGAACAGACCTTAAAGGACATTTGAACAAAAATCATACATTCCTTAACAGACAATGAAGAAAGAGAGAAAGAGGGATGAATGGATGAAAACCGAGGACAGTGAGAATGGGTTTAGTGTTTTATAAAGTTTCAGAGGAGTCTTTAGAATGTGCTAGTTATATCATAAAGAAGTAAACACTATAAATTTGATAAATGAGTATTATAGTGCTTGTCTCTCCAGGGGGAGGCGCTCTCCTCGGGGTCGGCGTGCTCAGCCGGGACCCGGAAGTCTTCCTGACACAGACAGAGACCGGCTGCTCACCGATCAGAGTGCCACCTACAGGAAGTACCCAGGACTCAACAACGTGGCCTACATGGTGAGACCTGCTCATGTAGATTTGAATCAGTGTCAGTGTGTGAACCGTCAGCAGTGCAGCTCTGGTCGCCTGGTTGTAGTCAGGATCCACAGGAAGGATTTGTGCTGTGGAACTGAACAGACTGGATGAAGATTGACTTTAGTTTTATTGATCAAATCACACACAACTGGTTCAGAGCTGGTTCAGTGTAAACAGGACATCTGATATGACAACCGTAACCCTTAATGTGAGGTTACTCAGGGTGGAGTGTTGGGGTCTCTTTAATTTTCATTAAATATAAATTGTTTAAATATACCCTGCTTTAGTGAAATTTCTATATGCAGATGACCTTGGTTTTTTAGTATGAAAAAGATATAACCCTAGTGGACGGGTCTCTGGTTCTCAGTCCACTATGAAAACAGATATAAACTGATATACATGTTCTTTACATCTGAAAGGAGCCTCAGACACTCTTTTAAAGGAAATGTAAAGATGATCTGGAGATCATCAAAAGAAGGTCTGAAGTAGCATCGATAGATACAAAATGGTATCATCAGCATAAAAGTGCACATTGTACTGAGTTGTACAATAAATATTATTAAATATAAATGACAGTGGACCTCAGGTTGATCCTTGTGGAATACCTTTAGTAATTCTCTCTCGTCTCTCACAGTCAGATCCTGACCTGCCCCCAGATCACGGCAGTCCGTCCCCTACTGATGAGGTGTTTGACCCAGCCCCGGCCCCACCACCATACATGCCCCCCCAGCCTTCCATAGAGGAGGCCCGACAACAGATGCACTCCCTCCTGGACGATGCCTTTGCTCTGGTGTCTCCGTCCTCGCAGGGCAGCGCAGGGGTTAGCGGGGTAAGCCCTGCCCTGCCTAGCCCCTCCCCTCAGGCCCGCCCCCCAGGCAGACAGTGGGGCTCTTACCCAGCAGCCCCCTCCCACAGCCCCTTCTCTGCAGTGAGTGTGTCGACCTGCAGCTGAGGCCCAATACCGTCGTGTCATGAAATGTCATGGATCCGTGTTCAGTTTTCATGGTCTTCTTCTCTTCTTCCTGCAGAGATATGCAGAGCTGGGAATGTCTCCTACATCAGTCCAGGGACTGCTGCAAAGGTCAGTGTCAGTGAATTTAAAACCAGGTCCATGAGTGATGGCTGGACCTGAACCAATACTGATGCTCCGTGTGTTTTATCCAGGCAGGGCCTGAGCTCAGGAGGGTATGTTTCTACTGGAGATCAGCTGCAGGAGACGGTTTACTCCAACAGAGGGCAGTATGAGGACCCCCCCTCCTCCTCCAGACCACGACCTGTAGGGGGCAGCACAGGTAACATCATATTTTCAGCTTATAGGTAAACTGCTCTCATTTAAGAGTTCTGAAACATTTATAGTAATATTTGTTGACTTTACTCACTGGGTTTATGAACCTCCAGGTGCACAACTCCACCACTTGACACAGGTGGGTTTGTCCAGTCATATCGGCGCTTACCCTGGGGTGGGTCGCAGCATGTCTGGCCCCACTGGCTCAAGCTGGAACCAGCAGCACACAGACCAGGACCTATCCAGACCAGGAGCCAGTAGAGAGAGTGTGAGTCCACTTTGAGGAGTTGTAAAATCAACCAAACCTGGATCAAACCAACTACTTCCGTTGTTTAACTATCAGTGTAGTATTGAGAGGTATGGTGATGTAGGGACCACAACTAGTCCAGACCAGTCCAAACAAGTTCTGACAACACCAGTGCTAATCAGAAATGTTCAAATGCATTCTGACCAGAACATGCTAGACTAGTCCATACCAGTCCACACTAGGCTAGACTGTCCTGTGCCGACGTTCAGAGTGCTAATCATGTTTCCTTATTATCGCCTACAGTTTAAATCATAGTGGAAAAGATAGCTCTGATTTCATTAAGTGTCTTTACATGACTCAGTTTCATGTCCAGGTCTGGTCTTTGACTGCTCACAAAGTGCTGTTTTGTGGTCTCCCTCCCCCACCCCCCCCTTCTCCCCACAGGTGCTGTCATTCCCTGAGTTCTCCTCTTCCTCTGTTTTCCAGATGCCCAGCTCCTCGTTGCGGGACCCATCAGCACCACCTCTCCTCCTGACCTCACCCACTCCAGAATACCCACCAGAGGACGCCTCGCCCTCCGCCCACACCTCTGCCTCACTTATCAAGGCTATCAGGGAGGAGCTGCGTCGTTTGGCCCAGAAACAGGCTTCAGTGACCAGCTACCCTTAGACAGATCTGGACCAGTTTGGATCAGAATTCAACTGGTTATTGTTTTAAACCACTCAAAGCCTGTTAGGACTGGATTAAAACCCTAAAACTAAATGATCCACACTCTGGACTCTCTTGAGCTAATCTATGTCTGTATCGCTAAACCCAAAATAACTCTGGACCACGATCCATGTCTCCTGTCTTCTGATTGAAAGACCTCCGGTACTTTACAGGGTCCCGTCTGCCTGTCTGTCTGTCTGTCCGTCATTCTTCAGCTCAGTGTTTCATTGGACGGGAGTTGGACTCTTTGTGTTTCCACTGAAGTGCTTCCTGGACAGGATTGTCCCTCCTAGAGTTTTAGAGTGGATCTTACTGTCTGAGTTTGTGGAGAGGATGGTCCCTCCTGACCTTCTGGGGTCAATCATCCATCCTGGAGTTCTGGAGCAGATTGTACTTCCTGGAGTTCTGGAGTGGATGGTCCATGTGCACCTTCTGCAGTGGAGGTTTCTTTCTGACCTTATGGAGTGGATCATTCTTATCATTCTGGATTGGAACGATCCCTCCTAACTGCTTGAAGTGGATGGACCAATGTTAACTTCAAGAATGGGTGGTCCTCCATGAACTTAAGGAGCAGATAGTCCTTTCTGATCCTCTGGAGTGGATGGTCCCCTCTGATACTGAGTGGATTGTTCGTGGAGTTCTAGAGTTGCAATTCATTCCTGAACATTTGGAGTGGATGGTCCCTCTTGGAGATCTGGAGTGGATGATTCATCCTAACCTTCTAGTTTGGATCATTCCTTCTTAACCTCTGAACCCGATTGACCCTCCAAGATTTCTGATTTGGATAGTCCCTCCTGACCTTCTGGAGTGGATAGTCCTTTCTGGACTTCTGGAGTCAATCATCCATCCTGGAGGTCTGAAGTGAATTGTCCCTCTGGACCTTCTGTGGTGCTAACCGTTAGCCTCATACCATCTCCTCATTGATCACTTATTGCCTTCCACACTTCCATCAGCCATGGGGATCAGGTCTCTGCTCATAAACCATATTGATGAGGTCTTGCACTGTCGACAGCAGGAGGTGGCACACAGTTCCCACATCAAAGGGACAAAAACAGGAAAAAAGTATAAATAAATATCTATAAGAATGAATATAAATATATGTAAAGAGATAGAATCCCAATGAGCACAATATTAATGTTAGCGTTATTATTGGAGTATTGAGATGTTACTTATTTTTTATTGCTCATATATGAAAGTATACTTTAAATCCTTTATTTTGATGAAAAAAGACCAAACTACTGTTCTGTGGTTGTAATCCTCTTGTGTTTGAGCTTGCTGTAGATTTTGAGCCAGCTTTTGTTTCTCTGTGGAGACGTTGCTTAGCGTAGCTGCTCGCTCGCGTTTTCATGTATCGGTGGCAATGAAAAAAAACCTGCGCTAATGCATTGCTTAAATATCTAATTTTTTTCATTGCGGATTTGTTGCATCCATCAGTCTGTGGGCAGAGCGACAAGTCTGTTAGGTGACAGGTGGGTCAAGGGGTTAGTGTAGCAGGCAAAGATGGGAAACAGTCATTCAGCAGAATCAGGTACTACAGCTAACGCTAAAAGCAGACACACCAGCGTCCCCCAGAGCCTGTAATATTTAATGCACACAAGAAAACAGACTCACCACTAACTGACTGTCAGTCAATCAGTTTTATATAAAGTAAAGAATCACTGTGCAATATGGTCCCAGTACACAGTACAACACAGACAGCAAGCACATAAGATAATGAAAATTAATAAAATAAATAAATAACAGCTGAATGAAGGTTCCCTCTGTTGGTTTACAGCTGAATGAAGGTTCCCTCTGTTGGTCCCAAAGCTGAATGAAGGTTCCCTCTGTTGGTTTACAGCTGAATGACGGTTCCCTCTGTTGGTCGTACAGCTGAATGAAGGTTCCCTCTGTTGGTTTACAGCTGAATGAAGGTTCCCTCTGTTGGTCGTACAGCTGAATGAAGGTTCCTTCTGTTGGTTTACAGCTGAATGACGGTTCCCTCTGCTGGTTGGATGTTTTCTCTGTAGTGTTGTGAAGAATTTGGTCGCTCGTGAAATCTGGTTCCACGGGGTAGGAGAGGGTTTGTTCGTCTTTGCTCTCTGCTCTTCTTCAGCATGTTTGACTGAGTTTGAGGCTTTAGCTACTTGTGATGTTCCAGTTAATGTTAGCATGCTGCTAAAAGATGTTAAAAACAAAGTTTGTAAAAGTGAAGAGTTGTTCCACATCAAGTTAAGAGCGAGCAAAGAGTGATTAATGTCACAGTGCCATAAAACCATTGTTCATCTAAACACAGTAGAAAAAAACCCATCTTAAAACGTATTCTTTTTGTTTTGTTTTTGTTTTTCATTTCCAGAAGATATTTTTGAATCTAAATGAAGATGGTAACAATAAACAGTGTATAACTGAAAATTGATATGATGTTGAATAGAAAAAAATCATGCTTAGAAAATATTTTATCTGTGATAGCTTTGCTGAATGGACTCAAACATCTGCCCGGCGATGATGCCGACACACCTTCCATGGACCAGAATCCAACCGCCTGGAGACTTTCTGATTGGGCCTAGCACCTGTCAGTCAAGCTGTGGGACTTGGCCAAGCCTACAGGATCACATGGTGCTAATTCAAGGACTCAAGGTGCGTCTGAAAAAAAGATAAACCCTGCAGGTGTCATGATTGAAAAGAGAAGTTTGTCTTCTCACATCGAACTCTGGATTCAAGCTGCTGCTCTGCAGGTTTCATAAACTCCTCCTGAATGTTTCCTCCATGTTTTCTAGATTTTCTGTGTTTTCTAGATCTGTGATCCTCAGTGAGAATCCAGTACACAACCAGGTGCACTGTGGGTGTTTTATTCATGACAAAACTACTGGTCCAGACTCAGAGACCCACCTGGTACTGAGAGGTACTGAGCCCAAATGTCTGAAAGGTGATGTTTTATCTTGTCATTAACATTGACACAAGGATCTGATTAACACATCAAAACAATTTACCAACAACTGCACAAGATATCGGCCCGTCAAAGATACTTTACCTGTCGGACTCTGACCTGATTAAACCTGATCAGAACCTGCTCTGTTCTGACCTTGTGCAGGTGTGTTTTCAGGTCTTTACCTGTTGGATTGTTTCAGGAGTTTTGTCATGAATAAACTTCCGTACAGCTGCAGCTCTGAGTCAAACCACATTCCTGTTGTTCCTCTCTGGACTCTGTTCCAACAGGTAGCTTCACTGAGAACTCAGACCAGGTGAGTTCACATCAGTCCAGGTTCCAGGTATGATTCAGGTCTCAGTGAAGCTGCTTTGTGGAGACAGACTCTGAAGGAAGAGTTATTTTAATGTCAAATCAGTGACCTGGGAACACTGCCAGCAGTTTCACCTGTTCAACAGCAGCCAGCTGAGCTCTCAGCTGATCTGACTGTGTCACATGACAGGACCTGTTCAACCCAAAGTCTGTGTGAGCTGCATCCTGTGGTGTTTCAATCTAAAAGACTGTGTTAACAAACATTAAAGACGTATTCAAATTCAAACATATTTTTCTTTATTCATTCAAGTATTAATTTTTCATTTAGAGACAAAACATGATTTAAAATGTTGTTATTCATCATCAACTGATTTTTGTTTCATGATCCGTGTGATCTCCTGTGAGACGATGTCCCAATCTGAAAACATGAAACTACACACAGTGGAGTTTCTATGGAAACACACATAAGAAAAATAAACAGAAAAGGTTCAAATTTAGAAAGTTTATGAATCAGGGCCAATGAGTAGATATTCAAAATAAATATTACAGCAGAAAACCATTTTATTTCCATAATAAAGTTTCAAGAATACATGTTTAATACTCAATATTAGGTGAATAAAATTGAATTATTTCAAGAAAAAAAGTCGTTATATATAAATTTGAATAATTTTAGTGTTTGAAGGACAAAATTTCATATTTTGAGAAAAGGTCTGAACATTTTGATAATAATATATTTCTACTGTAAAGCTATGTTTCCAAACATAATTTGTGATTGTTTAAGAAAATAAAAATGGTTTAATGAAAGGAGGTAATATTTAGAGAATACAGTTTAGAGAAAAGAGTTACTAAAATAAAGTCGTATAAATAATAAACAACTATAACTTTATTTTCTTAATATTTATATTTATTTACAGTGGCTTGATTCTCTGTTGTAATGATCAGCAGTTAAACCTGCATCAACAGGCCTCCACCCACCTGACAATCCGTGTATAAACTTGACCCCTCCCATTGAAAGCCCGCTCCCTCCTCCTCTGCCTCCTCCCTCCGCGGGTTCCCTGGTGACGATGACACTTCCTGATACACCTGGGCAGGTCAACAACAACATTTTAATCCGGAAGAAACTCCTGCATCATGAAAACAAACCAGCGGCTCCAGGGTTAAAACTCCCCACGGTGTAAGTACAGGCTCTTAAATCAAGGTGAATGCAGACAGGTGTTGGTCGTTGGCGGGAACAGTTTAGTTAACATTAAGTTGAAGTTACTGCAGGTAGACTTGTGTTCTTAATCATCAGGTTCTGCTTTAAGAAACCAGAGTTAATGACTGATATCCTCTTGAGTCACTCGGTGTTTACTCCCGGAGAAAACCTCCCGCCAAACTTCGTTTATATTTTTGTGATTTAAGGTTTTCTCTTTGGTGTTGGTTGAAAAAAAATCACGGACACGACCGGAAACATTATGAGACCGTTTAAAAGAGTTTCCTGTGGGACTCGGCTCTCTGATAATGCTCGTTCAGACACTCAGGTTCAGTAAAATCCACTTTTTGAACCGAGTAGAAACAGACTAAACAAAGTGCTGATCGCTTCAAGGCTCGGATTTATGTAAAACACTTGACGGATTCTTCTTCACCTTTATTTTCAGTTCACCTTACCTTTACGTTTAGTTTACCTAACCTTACCTTTACCTTCAGTTTACCTCACCTCACCTTTACCTTTGGTTTACCTAACCTTACCTTTACCTTTCAGCATTAGTTTCAAGATCATGAAATTCGTTCATGTGTAAATGGGAGTTTTGAACACTTTGGCTTCAGTTTCTGTGAAACCTGCTGCTTTCAGTGTCTCCACCTACAACCTGTCAACCAGGCTCATTTACGCCTGTAACACCTGGAAACATCTGTTTATCAGGTTCATAACAATAATCATGACAGGAAACAAACATTAATCTGAATGATTATTTACCTGTGAACTTTAATCACTTAAAGAAGAAATTTAAACTCCATTGAATTAATATTTAAAAACCATCAGTTTGAATTAATGTGACCTAAAATTAATTCAAATTCTCACTGAAATGTAAAAATTAAAGTTGAATTTTTTCCAGTTGTTGGTGAAAATCAAGAACATAAAAAGGTTTTAAAATCATTTTTCATTAGACCATCTTTTTTATACCACAAACACAAATAAAATAACAGCAAAAATAGGTTGTAATTACTGTTTGAGTTTCTATGAATTAGTGAAAAGAAATTTAGTCAACTGCTAATTTCATTATTCCAAACAATGTTTGATTTGATTTATTCATCTTTAATGTTTAAATCATTTCTCAGTCTTATTGATAATGTTAATTATCTGCTCTCTCTTTAGTTATTATTAAGAATAAATATTAATAATAAATTTGTATTGGCGATATCTGTCATCAAACTGATGTGTATTTGTGAACTGGAAAAAAACTTGATGAAGTTTTTATTAATATTATAATAATATTTACTAAACTTTCAAATGAAGAATCCAGTTTCTGCTCAGAGAGGGAGAGAAATCTTCACAGCTGTTACTTTATTTACCTGAAACTCACCTGAGAGAAAATAAAATCTTTGAAAATCACAATAAAACCTTGAAACAGGAAAATAAGTGTCAACACGTTTCTTAATTTTCTGTGCATATTAATAAAAATCATGTGGAAACAAACAAGGTCGTTGACAGAATCTTAATGAACTATGATGTTAGTAAAAAGTTTTTCATTTGAAATCAAAGGCTGACTTCACTGTACTTCCTCCTGACCTGCAGCTTGGACTCAGTGACTGCTTCCTGTCTTCAATGTGATGTCACGACCACATGACTGAACTGTGGTCAGGATGGATGACTGTATGAAGACTCAGCTGGTGAGCGCCATCCACCTGCAGGAGGTGGAGCTGCAGGAGAAACCTGCAGATGAACCACAGGGCTCCAAGAACAACAACAACAACAATGGTTAGTTCCAGATCAACAATCAATAATGCAGATCATCAGTCACTGTTAACGTCCTGTCAACTTTCTCTTGATGTGAAGAGACATACTAACGAGGTCACACCCATTAGCTGATTCATCACTTCCTGTCTTTGCCTTGCTCTTTACACTCTGTACTCGCCCCCCTCTGACCTCTGACCTCGCTCCTCTGTTCTCCATCATGTCAGGTCAAGGTCTGACACTGAACATGTGAGTGAGTTTCCCCTGAATCCTGACTGCAGGTTCATCTGGTCAGTCACCAGCCGGTGGCAGCGACACGACACCGGACTGTTTAATGTGATACTGAACGTGTGTGTGTGTGTGTGTGTGTGTGTGTGTGTGTGTGTGTGTGTGTGTGTGTGTGTGTGTGTGTGTGTGTGTGTGTGTGTGTGTGTGTGTGTGTGTGTGTGTGTGTGTGTGTGTGTGTGTGTGTGTGTGTGTGTGTGTGTAGATCAGACCTACACAGTGGAGGAAGCCGTGGAGACGATTGGCTTCGGTCGGTTTCACATCCTGTTGTTTGTCATCATGGGAAGTTCAAATGTAAGTGTGACATCACATCCACCTGGTGACATCACATCCACCTAATTAGAGCAGGACTGCTGATGTCTGTGTATCTGTGTGTGTGTGTGCGTGTGTGTGTGTGTGTGTGTGTGTGTGTGTGTGTGTGTGTGTGTGTGTGTGTGTGTGTGTAGATCGTGGAGGCGATGGAGATCATGCTCCTGGCTGTGGTCTCACCTGAGATCAGGTGTGAGTGGCATCTGGAGAACTGGCAGGTGGCTCTGGTCTCCACGGTGAGTCTCTATGTCACTGGACTTGGGAGTGTGGCCCCCCTCCAGTCCAGCTGCAGCTCTGAGTCTGGATCAGTTCTCAGGTCTGAGATCAGTGGGTCAGGTCTGGTCTGGGTTTCACACAGTGAACCAGGTGGACTCATGTAGACCTGCACAGACCTCCAGTGTTCAGAGGTCAAAGGTCAAACTCCTGTGTGCAACAGTGTGTGTGTGTGTGTGTGTGTGTGTGTGTAGATGGTGTTCCTGGGCTTCATGCTGTGTGGAGTAGTGGGCGGATACATCGCTGACAGATACGGACGCTGGAAGGTGAAACACGTCGATATTAAAACACCAGAGACCAGATCACCTGTCCTGGACTGACTGTGTGTGTGTGTGTGTGTGTGTGTGTGTGTGTGTGTGTGTGTGTGTGTGTGTGTGTGTGTGTAGGTGGTGTTTGGAGGTTTTGTGTGGAGCGCCTACTTCTCCCTCCTCACCTCGTTTGCTCCGTCCTACAGTTGGTTCATCTTCTTGCGCAGCATGGTCGGCTGCGGGGTCGCAGGAGTGTCACAGGGGTCAGCTGATCCACACACACACACACACACACACACACACGCACACACACACACACACACACACACAGTCTCTGAGTCTCTGTTCACGTTCTCAGGTGAAGTGACAGTGACCTGACTGTTGTAAAACATCACTCACAGCGTTTGAACCAACATTAACATCAGTCTGATAATGAACCTGTTTAAATGTAGTTGTTTACTGTAGTTAATTGGAGGTCAGAGGTCACCAGTCTCACCTGTGGTTCAGTTAACAGTGGAAGAGGAATAACATTAGTTCATATTTGACAGTGTGATGTGATTGACAGACAAACAGGAAGTGTCACAGATTTATAAATAAAGTTAAAGTGTTGATGTTGGTGATGAAGGGGTTAATCTTCAGGTCACAGTCCGAATGTTTACCTGTGCTCAGGTTTGTGTTGAAGACCGAGTTCATCCCAGCGAAGCACCGAGCCTACCTACTGCCTCTGGCCACTGTGAGTCTGAAACAAACCACTTCCTGTTTCCTACAAATTAAAGGTTTCTATATGCAACCTTCAGGAAAGCCTTGTTATAAATGACCCTGGTGGTTGTTCAGTGAACTGCAGCCACGTCCATTCACATTCAAATCACCTTTTAAAGTAACTTGATACCATTGGTCTGAAGTGTGTGATGTCATGAGTGCAGATCTCCCAACATGCTCTCTGCCTCTGTGTGTGTATTAGGTCTTCTGGATGCTGGGCTCCATGCTGATCATCATCCTGGGGATGCTAGTGGTTCCTGTTCTGGGCTGGAGGTGGATGATCCGGATGTCTGTGACTCCCAGTGTCCTCCTCATCTTCCTCTTCAAGGTTAGACGCCTTCCTCACTTGTCCGTCAGCTGACACACAGCCACACTGCAGCTGTTTCTGACAGAGCACAGGTGTGGACCCATACACCCGAGTAGTCTGTAGGTAGGAGGCTTTCACTCTGTCCACCACATCAGTGACCTCACGTAAAGGTCTCTATTGTGGAGGCGGAGCTCCAGGAGCTCATTGGATTTGACTCACCCTCAACAACAACAGGGTCGAGTCTCATTTTCCCATGAACCATTTGTGTGTTACAGGATCAGACTGATGACATCATCAAACTTCTGAACTGACAGGTTTTAACTGACGTCTCTCTGTATTGATTATATTGATTATGAATCAGTTTATTCCAGAGTCGGCTCGTTACCACATGTCGGCAGGAAACGTTCAGGCTGCTGTTGAGATTCTGCAGAGAATCGCTGACATGAACAGAGCTGCTCTTCCTCCAGGTCGACTGGTGGAGCCCGCTCAGGTACACACCTTCTTATCAACACTCGGTGTGTATGTGTCTCTCTGTGAGCTCCATGTCGTCCAGGATCAGGGTCATCAGCTGTGGCTTAGCTTGAGTCTTTGTGTTTTAGAGAGAAAGAGGAAACTGGAGGATCCTGCTCAGTTCCTCCTTCAGGAGAACGTCTCTGCTGCTGTGGTACTCATGGTAATTATATATTTATATAACTTAACAGACACAGTGAGTCAAACAGTTACATCAGATTGATTTAAATAAAGAGAACATTCACCAGATGAAGAAGCGACGATGTAAAGTCTGGTTGTTTTTTTTTTTGTAGAATTTTTTGGGCTTTTTGTGCCTTTAATGGACAGGACAGTAGAGAGACAGGAAATGGGGAGGCAGAGAGGGGGAATGACACACAGGAAAGGGCAGTCCGATGCGGGAGTCGAACCGGGGGCCAGCTGCAGCGAGGCCTGTAGCCTCTATATATGGGGCGCCTGCATAACCCACTGAGCTACACGACGGCCCGGTCTGGTTGTTTTAACAGAACCATGCTGGTCTTTGTTGAACTGGAGAAAGTTACAACATTTAATATTCACTAAACTAAAAGGAAGCTTGTAAATGGTCAACGGCTCTCGGTCTCGTCGCTCAGGTTTGTGGCGTCCTTCGCGTACTACGGTTCAGTCCTGAGCAGCTCCGAGCTGCTGGAGAAGAACCTGTTGTGTGTGACGGATGCTGACCAGGAACATCAGGTCAAACACCGCCAAGAGGACGGACTGTGTTACTGCATCCCCTTCGGACTCAGCGACTACCAGACGCTGCTCATCAGCTGCCTGGGAGAGGTGGCCCGTAAGTCACAGGAGGATCCAGGGTCCAGCTGCAGGACCAGGTCCATGTCTAATTGTGTCCTCCTCTGTCCCACCAGTGGTCCCAGTAAACATCTGTCTGCTGAATGTGTTTGGACGGAAGATGAGTCTGGCGGTGCTGCAGCTGCTGGCGGCCATTGTGTTCATGATGGTCAACATCTGCACCACGATGTAAGAGCCTCACAGTCTTCTTCTGTCTGCTGGTCCAGTCTGACTGGGTTCGGGTTTATGAAGTCCTCCAGACCGAATCTCTGAGGTCCCTCTGTTCCGGTCTCTCTCTCCAGGTTTGGGTTCACAGTGCTGCTGTTCCTGCTCCGGTCTCTGGTCTCCATGAACTTTAATGTTGTCTATATTTACACAGCTGAGGTGAGTCCTGGTTCTGCTGCTGGTTTTGATTGAGGTGGTTTTTGTTGATCAGGTCTCAGGTAACAGGTGGTTTTGTCTCTCAGGTGTACCCCACCGTGGCTCGGTCTCTGGGGATGGGTTTCTGTACGTCGTTCAGTCGGATCGGAGGAATGATTGCTCCGTTTATGGCTCAGGTGCGTTCAGGGTCAGGTGCACTCAGCATCAGGTGAGTTTCAGGTGTTTGTCCATGTCTGACTTAAGTCTGTGTATACTTCAGGTGCTGATGTCTCAGTCGGTGATTCTGGCGCTCACTCCGTTCGCTGTGGCCTGTGTGGTCTGTGCTCTGGGAAACTTCCTGCTGCCGATAGAAACTAAAGGACGAGCTCTGCTGGTGAGAAACAACTTCCTATTTACACTTTGTACAAACTTTATTGATCTGTTCTCCTTAACAAACAAACTGATTCTACATTTCTTTGTTTCTTTCAGCAAAACTCTTGATGACGTGTTTGTTTTATTGTCATGTGATGTTAGAAATTAAATATGTTACTGAAGTCAGGTGTTACTGTGCAGTTTATCATCAGACTGAAATTAATCAATTAATTATCAATGAAATCTGGATCGTTAGAGATTATGAATTTATTCTGGTTTATTACTGGTGTATCGTTATTAAAGTTACGTTTGTACCGTTAAATACTTTATTCTGTATTCTCCTAATTTCATGTTACATGAATTATTAATGGGATCATGTGACCAACTATTACTTCAGTTAAAAATATCAATTCTTGTGTCACTGTTGTAATAACAAACTGGAGTCAGCTGTTTTATACAACGATTCAGTTCTTATGTTTCATGTATTTAGAAGTTGGACATTTTATTGTTGTGCTGAAAGTTTAAATTTTGTTTTTTTGAAAAGTGATTTAAAATTAAAAAGATAATAAAAATAAAATGTATAATGTTTAAAGTGTGTGGAGGTGCTATCATTATTATTATCATCATTATTATTATTATTATTGTCATTATCATTTCTGTCTACCAATATCTTTATATGTTTATTTACTAAAATTAAACTCTGTTCAACAGTAAGTTACATTAATATGATTAATTAAATTCTAAATTTTCTAATACAGTTGTGTAGAATTTCATATCAGAAAAAACCTAAATGTCTGAAACTATAAAAATAAATCAGACAACTCTGACTCAATAAGTTGATTGATCAGCAGCTGGAGGAGAAAACGACATTCCCTCACAGAGAGAGTTTCAGCAGTCACACTCATGGTGGCGCTGCTACGTCTGGAGAGGATGAAGAGGATGAAGATGATCTCTGGCTCCTGATCTCCTCTCGTTAATCTTGTAAACTCAAACACTCTGCTCTGGTTACAGATTACTGTCTGTTCTCAGGGGGGTGGAGTCTGCTCTCGACTGAGCCCGCCCCCTGACCTCAGACACTTCAGACGCACTGTGTGTGTGTGTGTGTGTGTGTGTGTGTGTGTGTGTGTGTGATTAAAGTGGATTTAGTGTTGGACTGAGCAGCAGACAGTGAACAGCTTGGAGACGTGAGTACAAACAACTCATTTCACACATTTCCTTCACCTTTATTTTGAAATGTTTAGAATCAGCTGATTACAGGGTGAGCTGTGAGCAGGAAGTGGAGCTTTATTGTGACAGACGAAGATGATGAAGGTGGGCATGATGTTTGTCTCTTTGACAATCATGAAACCGACTCATAAAGTCTGTATTATATTGTGTTTAACAGGTTATTCATAGAAAATTAGATGAGATGTTGCCATGACAACCTGAACACCTACTTCATCACTGAGATGAAGTAGGTGTATGATGTATGTTTTTATTTGTAGTTTAAGACAAACAAACAAATAACAGGAGGAGTCCCCCCTCCTTCTCCACCCCGAGTCTGGTTCTGTTGGAGGTTTCTTTGTGTGTGTGTGTGTGTGTGTGTGTGTGTGTGTGTGTGTGTGTGTGTGTGTGGGTACTTGGTACAGATAGGTCTGTTCTGTATGAGCCTCTTTGTTTCTGTCCACACTGACTCACTGTGACACTGACAGAGTGGTGACTGGTCATGTGACTGGTCACGTGACCAGTGACAGAGCAGCTGATGTGAGGGGAAGAAGAGAAACATGAAGAGTAATGATGAAGAGACAGTTTAAAATTGTGCACAGCTAAATGAAAATCATTTGCACAAGCTTCACTTACTCAGAGATGAAGGCCATGAGATGTGGCTGAAAACTTAGTGTAACTGGACCCTGTGCTACATCATCATCAGTCTGAGTCCAGACTGGTCCAGCTGTGGTTGTAGAGTATCAGATGTTTTTCCACTTCCTTTCCTTTCAGTCTCTCTCTGACGTCAGGAGGCGAGCTGGAGTCTGTCAGTGACATCATCAACAGGTGACACCCTTCCCATGGTGCCCTGCTTCCTCCGGGGTCGCCATGGGAGACGAGTCTTACCCAGAATGCCGAGCCCAGGAGCTGTTCGATGAGTTTGTGTCGGCGTCGACCTGCAGGGCGGCGCTGCGGTCCTTTGGCCAGCTGTGTGAACATCTGCAGCTGGACCAGAGCGCTGCCGAAAGGCCGCTCTATCGACCAATCAAACACCGCCTCAACTACTGGAGGGCCAACGCTCTGTGGGCCAAACTGGATCGTAGGGCTGCTCAGCAGGAGTACCTGAAGGCCCGGGCCTGCAGCAGCACCACGGTACACACACACACACACACACACTGTACACTGTACACTGTATATAAACATGTACATCACTGAGTGTCACTGATTGGTCAACGGTGTCTTCTCTCTGATTGGTCAGTGTGTGATCATTGGGGCTGGGCCCTGCGGTCTGAGAACAGCGGTGGAGCTGAGCTTCATGGGAGCTCGGGTGGTGCTGCTGGAGAAGAGAGACTCTTTCTCCAGGAACAACGTGCTCCACCTGTGGCCCTTCACCATCCACGACCTGCGGGGCCTCGGCGCCAAAAAGTTCTACGGAAAGTTCTGCGCCGGCTCCATCGACCACATTAGTGAGTCTGTGGTCTGTTAAACATATCTGTCACAGCAGCTGGACCCTTCCATCAGCACCGTCTGTCTCCTGTCTGCAGGTATCCGTCAGTTGCAGCTGGTCCTGCTAAAGGTCGCCTTACTGCTGGGGGTCGAAGTCCATGTCAACGTGGAGTTTAAGAACCTGGTGGAGCCTCCAGAAGACCAGAGACACAGTGAGGACTCAAGTTCTTCTATTGTTTATAAATGACCTGTTGGTTCACCTGTTTACCTGCTTGTATACATGTGTACCTCTGCACCTGTTTACCTGTGTACTTGTGTACCTGTCCAGAGGTGGGCTGGAGGATGGAGGTGAGTCCAAAGTCTCATCCTGTCAATCAGCTGGAGTTTGATGTGATAATTGGAGCAGACGGACGCAGGAACACACTGCCAGGTAGAACAACACACCTGTATACAACACAGACAGATACCTGTCTCCCACCAGATGTTAATCTACACAAACCTGAGTCTGACAGCACTGTGAGCATCTTCATCTAAGTTCATCAAGTCCAGCTGAGACTGAAAAGTCAAACTAAATGTTATCTGAGTCTCTTTTCTCAAACTACAAACCTGATTCTTAAAATCTCACATTTGATTTTCTAACAGTCGTGATGATCGAGCATATTGATTTAATTCAACCTGATCCCGTCTGTACGCCGTCTTCTGATTGGACGGATCCTGACCCATCACTTGTCTTTGTGAGCAGGTTTCAGGCGTAAAGAGTTCAGAGGGAAGCTGGCCATCGCCATCACGGCAAACTTTAAGAATAGAAACACCACAGCTGAGGCCAAAGTGGAGGAGATCAGCGGTGTGGCGTTCATCTTCAACCAGAGGTTCTTCCAGGAACTACGACAGGAGACGGGTCAGTTTTTGATTAAGACTCGTTAAGTTAATGACAGAGACGTCTGGTCTGTTCATGTTAAACTGGATCTTTCAGGGATCGACCTGGAGAACATCGTCTACTATAAAGACGACACACACTACTTTGTGATGACGGCAAAGAAACAGAGTCTGTTGGAGAAAGGAGTCATCCTGCAGGTAGAAACACACCTAGACACGCACCTGGATACACACTACAGAGATACGCACCTGGATACACACTATGGAGATACACACCTGGATACACACTATGAAGATACACACCTCAATACACACTACGGAGATACACACCTGGATACACACTATGGAGATACACACCTGGATACACACTATGGAGATACACACCTGGATACACACTATGGAGATACACACCTCAATACACACTACGGAGATACACACCTGGATACACACTATGGAGATACACACCTCAATACACACTATAGAGATACACACCTGGATACACACTATAGAAATACACACCTGGATACACACTATGGAGATACACACCTGGATACACACCAAAGAGATACACACCTGGATACACACTATGGAGATACACACCTGGATACACACTATAGAGATACACACCTGGATAGACACCAAAGAGATACACACCTGGATACACACTGCAGATGTAGTACAGGTGTGCTGTTGGTTCAGATATAGTCATGTCAGAACATCATGAAGAGTCAGAGTCTGAACTCACCTGATGCAGGTAAAAACCTTCTCTTCTCTTCTTCCTCCTTCAGGACTTCGCAGACACCGAGCAGCTCCTCTCTCGGGGGAACGTGGACCAGAATGCATTGCAGGCGTATGCCCATGAGGCCGCCAACTTCTCGACCAATCACCAGCTGCCATCTTTGGATTTTGCTATGAACCACTACGGTCAACCAGACGTCGCCATGTTCGACTTCACCTGCATGTACGCGTCCGAGAATGCCGCCATTGTCCGCCAACGCCACGGACACCAGCTGCTCATCACGCTGGTGGGAGACAGTCTGCTGGAGGTGAGACAGGTGGAGGGACAGAGAGATAATCCGATAGACCGTTAAGTAAAATAACCTTTATCTTTGACCTCTTTTCTCTCTGTCTGTCTGTCCTCCTGTCTGTCTGTCTGTCTGTCTGTCCGTCTGTCTGTCCTCCTGTGTGTCTGTCCTCCTGCCTGTCTGTCTGTCTGTCCTCCTGTGTGTCTGTCCTCCTGTCTGTCCGTCCTCCTGTCTGTCTGAGTATGACACATTGTCTGTCTGTCTGTCTGTCTGTCTATCTGTCTGTCTGTCTGTCTGTCTGTCCGTCCTCCTGTCTGTCTGAGTATGACACATTGTCTGTCTGTCTGTCTGTCTGTCTGTCTGTCTGTCCTCCTGTCTCTCTGTCCTCCTGTCTGTCTGCAGCCCTTCTGGCCGATGGGAACCGGTGTAGCTCGTGGGTTTCTGGCTGGTCTGGATTCAGCCTGGATGATCAGGAGCTGGTCTCAGGGAGCAGCTCCTCTGGACGTGCTGGCTGAGAGGTGAACAGACTCACCTGGACAGAACACACCTGTCTGACTCACCTGCTATCACCTGTTACAAGGTGTCTCCGTCTCTTTCAGAGAGAGTTTGTATCGTCTCCTCCCACAGACGACTCCGGAGAACATGCAGAAGAACATCAGCCTGTTCTCTGTAGATCCAACGACACGATATGTCAACGTCAACCATCTGACCATCACACCTGCTCAGGTACGCTCTGTCACACACACCCGGTAACTCCAGGTAACAACAGAACAAGTGTGTTTTGTTCACTGACTGTTGTTCATTTCCTCATCATAAAAACATGTTCATGGATGAACTTGTGTTTTTTCTCTTGAGGTGAGACACCTGGTGGACACAGGAGAGAAGGCGGGGCTAAATACAAACTGTGGTGACATCATCCGCCTGCCCTCACCCAGATTCCTCAGAGAGGGTGAGTTCAGTTTATCTTTAATCTGACTGGTCCTCTGCCTCCTCCCTCTCTTTACCTCACAATAAAGCTTTAATCTGATTGATCCTCTGTCTCCTCTCTCTCTGACAGAGTCCTTCTCTCAGTCCAATCAGCTGCTGACTTGGTGTCAGGAACAGACTCGTGGTTACCGTGGCGTTGCCGTTGATGACCTGACTACTTCCTGGAAGAGTGGCCTTGCTCTGTGTGCTCTGATCCACAGATACAGACCTGACCTCATGTAAAACACCTGAACTGTTAATGAAGCAGACACCAGTAGAAATGAATTAATGAAATGGAATGGAACTTTTGTGTGTTTCATGTCTCCTCAGACACTTTGACTCTCTGGATCAGTCGTCTGTGGAAGAAAACACTCGTCTGGGCTTCGACATGGCTGAGCGGGAGTTTGGGATTTCTCCTCTGATGACGGTGGAGGAGATGTGGTCTGTAGGAGAACCAGACTCTCTGTCTATGGTCATGTACCTGAGTCAGTTCTACCAGCTGCTCAAAGACTCTCCACCCCCTGCTGGTGAGACACCACAGCTGTCTGTCTCCTGTGGTTCAGGGACGACGTTTTATCTTCAGGAAAATATTCACTGACTCAAAAACCCTCAAACTTTAAAAACAAGAGTTTTACTGTTGAATCTTAATGAAGAAATAGTCTGACCAGTCTCCTGTGTCTCTGTCTCTGTTTGTCTCTGTCTCTCTGTTTGTCTCTGTGTGTCTCTGTCTCTGTCTCTCTGTTTGTCTCTGTCTGTCTCTGTCTCTTTGTCTGTCTCTGTCTCTCTGTCTGTCTCTTTTTGTCTCTGTTTGTCTCTGTCTGTCTCTGTCTGTCTCTGTCTCTCTGTTTGTCTCTGTCTGTCTCTGTCTCTGTTTGTCTCTGTGTGTCTCTGTCTCTGTCTGTCTCTTTTTGTCTCTGTCTGTCTCTTTTTGTCTCTGTGTCTGTCTCTGTGTGTCTCTGTGTGTCTCTGTGTGTCTCTGTTTGTCTCTGTCTGTCTCTGTCTCTGTGTCTGTCTCCGTCTCTGTCTCTCTGTCTGTCTCTGTGTGTCTCTGTCTGTCTCTGTCTGTCTCTTTTTGTCTCTGTCTGTCTCTGTCTCTGCGTGTCTCTGTGTGTCTCTGTTTGTCTCTGTTTGTCTCTGTCTGTCTCTGTCTCTGTGTCTGTCTCCGTCTCTGTCTCTCTGTCTGTCTCTGTGTGTCTCTGTCTCTGTCTCTCTGTCTGTCTCTGTGCCGACCCAGCCCCACCCCACCAAGAGACAGAGATCAGAGAACAGACAGTAGAACTACACAGAGACAACACAGAGACAGACAAGAGACAGAGACAAAAGAGACAGAGACAAACAAGAGACACGACAGAGACAGACACAGAGAGAGACAAAGAACAGACAGAGACAAAAACGAGACAGACCAGAGACAGAGACAGCACAGAGACACAACAGAGACAGAGACAGAGACAGAGAACAAGACAAGAGAGACAGAGACAGACAGAGACAAACAGAGAGACAGAGACAGACAGAGAGACAGAGACAGACAGAGAAGGCGAGACAGAGAGACAGAGACAGACAGAGAGACAGAGACAGACAGAGAGGCAGAGACAGGAGACAGAGACAGACAGAGAGACAGAGACAGAACACACAGAGACAAACAGAGAGACAGAGACAGAGACAGACAGAGACAAACAGAGAGACAGAGACAGACAGAGACAGACAGAGACAAACAGAGACAAAGAGACAGACAGAGAGACAGAGACAGACCAAAGAGACAGAGACGAACAGAAGACACAAACAGAGAGACAGAGACAACCAGAGCAAAACAGAGAGACAGAGACAGAGACACACAGAGACAAACAGAGAGACAGAGACAAAACAGAGACAGAGACACAGGAGAACTGGTCAGACTATTTCTTCATTAAGATTCAACAGTAAACTCTTGTTTTTAAAGTTTGAGGGTTTTTGAGTCAGTGAATATTTCCTTGAGATTAAA